TATTCTATGTAATTTCATACTACAAACATATTTATATAATGTAAATATAAAGCAATCTATTTAATAAAGCCTGTTGGGAGTATGTCTAAGATCTGGGGATGATGACGCTAAAGATCTGGTTATCCAGGTCCAAAGTATTAGTCACTCCTGATTACCCAATCTCCTTCAACAATGAAACACTTCCTCTATAGCCAGTTAATTAGCTTTTTAAGTTCCTTGGCTGCTGGTTTACCCTTAATAACAAACATACTAAACAGATCCAACTTATCTCTTCTGAATCTTCTCAACTAGTCAAAATTGCTAGTACCAAACAAATAACTAATACTCAAGCCAGATATATTATTAATACTGTCATTATCTCTACATTAGAATATAGAATTCATAATATCATCCTTAGCCAATCTGTTTGCAACAAAATCTTTAGACAACATATCAACTTAGTTAAGCATAAAGCTAAACTTTGTCTCACTATTCCTCTTTTTTGATGTGCCCAGTTTGGTCGCAATAGAAACAGACTTTTGGTGCTGATTTCCATTCTGTTAGCACTTTCTGTCCTCATACGCTAGTATGTCTTGGTATTTTTTGTTCAATTTCTGGATCGTTAGTTGTATCGTAGGTTAGTAACCATTGATTTGAACAGATAGGAGTATCCTCATATACTAGTGGCTTGATAGATTTAATTAGCCCAAAGGGTTCAAAAGCTTCTCTAATATAGTTCGTAATTAGCTCTTTATTTCCTAATGGGACATTTCTCAATTTTATTGTTAGGTATGTATTTCTTAAATTGGTAGGAATATAACCTAAAATAGATTGCTTGAAGAGTGTAACTCCTTCAATAGCATAGTATTGTTGCTTCTTCTCATTGATGAAGACTATTTCAAGATGAGTTCTTCGACCTTTGGTATAATGAGGGTTAGCAGCTACAAAATCATCAACAATTTTTGCATATAGTGTAGAGATGATTTCATTAACTGAAATATTTTCTAAGCTCTGAATGTCAAATATGACGGCATTATCATTTTTTGTAGATAAATTTCCTCGTATATTTTTAGAGAAAGTTGCACGTCCACGTCTTAAAGTAGCAAAGAGACTTGACCATTTTCGAGAAGTAGTTGATCTTGTTTCCTCATATACTGCTTCGGGAGGTGGGCTGTTGTCTTTTGAATTTGATGCTGTTGTATTCTCTCTATTATTAGTTGTTGTATCAGTTTTCTCTAAGGTGTGTGGCCAAGCCACCTCTGTTATCTTCGATTTCTTTCCAGAACTTTCCATGCAAATCACCGTAGAATTTTCCGAATTCTTTGAGTTTTCACTACACGTATTTTCTGAAGCTACTAACCTAGTACCTCTTCTACTACCTCGTGCCAGTTATTTTCCTGCTGTTTTTCATTATTTGTACTTAATGTAACCGCTGAAGGGTTATTATTTAGTGTAGAAGTATTTTCTTCTCCAGTGATATTGTTGGGTGTTACTTCTGTATTCTGTCTTGTGTGGTGCACTTTTCTCATTTTTTCACGCTTTGTATTGTTGTCTAACTCCTTTATTTTTCTTTTCTTAGCTACAAGGGCCTCTGCCCCTGTTATAATGTTGTTAAAGCTATCTACCTTGTCTGTTTGAGGAATAGTGTATTCTAACTGTGTGGTCCCGGAAAGAGGGACGACGATCTTCCAGATATATTTTTTATATACCGATCATGCCGAAAAAATTACCGGCCGAAAAATTTTTCGGTTAATTTTATATAGGTGTCCCAGGAATAATGAAAACTGCTGTAAAAAAAATTTTTTTACTATAAAAAAAAAAAAGCCGTGCGGCCGGGTCACTGATCACCAACTCATGATATGAAAATCAATTATATTACTTTGTGCGGCCTTATATTTTTTTCGATATTTTTCGAATCAAAAGATTTTGCATCCATTCAGGAAAATGCGTAATCTCGGTTATATTTATAAATGTAAGAAGTAAAAATTTGGAAACATGTTATTGAATGGGACTTGCTCAAATTTCTGAAACCTAATGAGCTAATCCTAATGATTGGTCTAATAAAAAATTTTTAAAAGTAAATGGGGTCTTTGCCTTGAAAATCACGTTATGGGACATAGTAAATCATATGTTCCATAACTTGATTTTCAAGGCAAAGCCCCCAAATACTGCCTTACAAAATTGTTTATCTATTATGTCCAAATATCCGGTGACTATTTGACCATTTGTAACCGCATCGATGAATACTAGATGAAATTTTGTGGGATTATATAATTAAAAGGCAGCTATCTTCAAACGGATCAATATTATCAGTAATTCCTCCACCTCGTATAATTTTGAAATCGTTACCGCCCAGAATTATGAATTATTATTAGTAAATATATATATTAATCTACGATTTGAGTTTTATTATTATTATTATAAGGACAACATCAAAGAGTTATTGATACTATTAATTTCTATTAAAAACTAATCTGCATTTCAAGCTGTAAAAGTTGAAAATAGGTCAATAATAATTAACAGAATTTGAAAATAACGCGTAATAAACATACCCTTGAATAATATTGGTTAACAATCAACATATATATGCTCAAATGGTACCAATTTAACATATTTATCTAAATCCTTTTTAAATTTATCCCATGTAATATTATACTCAACCAAATTGTGTATATATATCTCATCCAAAGTCTTCTTTCTTATACAAAATCCAATTAATGCATCAGTTACTTTTTTGTCACCATATTTGATTTCCAATAATAGTTTTTTTAAAGGAGCATTACAATGTTCAAGAAAATTATCAATGCATGGTGAATTATATAAATCAAGATAATGTAATGATGATGGCAATATGTTAGCAAACTTTATAACGTTTGTTTTCGTTTCTTCTTTTTCTGATTCATTATCAATCCACTGTAAGGTAAGAAATTGAAGATTTTGTAAATGACAAATAAGATTTAGGAATTGAGTAGAAAGCTTAATCGTAGAAAAGCCAAGATAAGTGATGTTTGGACAGAAGGATATAAGTTTCCCTAATAATAACGGTAATGAATCAATTTCCTTTTGCTCCGAAGAAAGTCTTAATCGTTGTAATAATGAGCTAGATCTTTGCGCTAATTGTAACATACTCGATGCATTAATCGTACGAGCACGTAATTCTAAAGTGTTAATCTTATGATCATTATTGTCTAATATATTCAATAACCTATCTGTATCTGCACAATGATTTATACGAATAACTTCCAAATTTTTGAAATTCTTAATATTATTAAACTCTGCACTAGAAAAAATGCAAAAATTCATTATGAGTTCTCTTAATGAATTTTGTTGACTTTTCAAAGCTGAAATGATGCATCCAGAACTAAAGACTAATCTGAGACACCTAAGCTGTTCTTGAGATCTAATGACGCAGGCGAGTGTGTGAATTAGTTCCTCATCACCTTCAGTCTTCCCAAGTCTTAATGAATTAATTTTTTTTGCATTATCATTCAAAATTCTTAATAATGTAATAACGCTTTGGGGGCATGGATCAATCCTAATAGAGACAGATAGCTTTTTTATCTGTGAAAAGAAGTATTCGTTTCGACCTAATAAGTAAAATGTCTCTGGCTTAATATCAAAGGCTTCATCACCCACATCTTCATTATCGGAGAGATTTAAATGAAATTCGGATAAAGAGGCACCTCTCTCGATAAATAGTTTAAATAACAAATTAACCACGTTATATTTTACTATCTTAATCTCCTTTTTCAAATTAAAATTCGAGCCATTAATCCAAATTCCAACTAGATAACTCAAATCAGATAAATCCAAGATCTTTAAAAATCTTGCGTAATGAAATAGAGTATTAGGAAAATCTATAATTATTCCACATTTGTTTAATATAAAACTATCATGTTCATTTAGTGATGAAAAGTATCTAGATATAACCGATGAGTTTTGACATAAAGAAAATGGATCTTTCCAAAGAATAGGAATAGATATATTGCTCCAAAAGTGGCTTACAAGTACACATGAATGTAAAGAGCGAATATCTTCATTTAAATTATTTAGAATATTATCCAATAATTCGGGCATGCCGCCCATAAGAATTTTTGATGCCATGAGAAATATAATTGTTGTAGATCGCTTGTCCGTCGCTGCTGACTGGTAACTTGTATTAATTAGATTACTTATGCTAATAAAATAAGTATTTCAGTATTTAAACCAAAAATCACAGAGAAGTCAATCATAAATACGAAGGAAAAAAATTATCCATATATGTACGTACGTATGTCATTTCATTTCAAATTAAAAAATGAATGTGACAACGTAAATTGAGAAATGATCATTTAAAAAAAAAAAATAGCACATGGAATATAATGATCTACATACCTATTTTTGACGTATAAGTGCATTAATAGGGTGATCTCAAACTATTAAAAAATTAGGGTTGCATATTAGGGTACATCAACTATGCAAATCAAAACTATGTTAGATACATTGATAAATTTACTATGACCAAATTTTTATTAGCGAAATTAACGTAATAAATTGAATATAAAAAAATAGCAATATTCTAAAAGATTCACACGATTATCGTACTTATTTTTCGAATGAGAAATGTTCTTTAGAACCATTTCGAAGGTTCTACATTTAATTTTTGCGATAGCTCTAAATAAGTTTTAACTTATAGTTTCAAGAGTTTTTTTTTTATTTTAATTAACAAAATTCAATTATTCTATAAGACAAATATACAAAATGAATATATTGATAAAAAATTTGAAAAAATAGCTTTATTCTTTAGCATTTTATAAATACTTCGTAAAATAATTCGATTTCTTGATAATAAGTTGAATCGCTTTGAAATTTCAATTATTAATATTAAGATAATCGTGACATATTATGTTCTTATTGTAATTACAGAATTAAATATATAATCCGAATTTGAATAAAATTTAATTGCCGGTTGTATAACATAAAAGTCTGTGATATGAAAAATGCCATAGTTATCTAACATAGGTTTGATTTCTTGCCTTATAATTAATCTTATTGGTCAATTTTAGTCCCATGATCTTTAACGTATAACTGATAACTACGTATGTACGTACGTACGTAAAAAATCGTCACACCTGTGGCTAGTTTTTTATGGAAATCCGAATTTACTGTGGATAATATCAACTTTCGGTACGCTTTTCTCTCGAACTAGTATAATAATTGATGGTCTAATTTTTTTAAAAGGTAGAGCAAATTGTATACTTTAAGATAATAGAGATATTTTTTCAATCTATTCTATTTTACAAGTAGTAAATTCTTTATAAATACGAATGAGCTTTAACTAAATTTGACGATATAAAGCTATTAAAATTTTAAATCAAATGTTATTGTCGAAAAGAGCATAGTAAAAGCTATCGATTAAAAAAAAATAAATATGATACAAAAAAAATTATGTATTTTGTTCAAAAAGTGTACCTTTAGTTGTATTTTTAAAAAATGGTTACAGTATTCCACATTATCGCCAAATAATAAAACAGTTAATTTTCCGAAAACCCGTAAAAAATCCTCAATAATAAATTATACATATAGACCTAATTATGGTTTAATTTATGAGCACCCTACATTAATAAAAAGTAAATATTAATTTTTTTTAAAACCAATAAATTGAAATTTTAAACTATCAAGATAACTATGAAAAAAAGTCTACACCTCCATATTTTATTCATAAAATGGTGCATTCCGACACATTGAGTGCGATGCTTCAAAAAATCAAAATATAACTATCAAGAAATTTTTAAGATTTTTTTATGCTTTTTTTTTTCTAGAATTATGTTTGAGATCAGGTTCAAGGTTTATGATAAAAGAGTATATGCGGATTTTAATATTTCAGTTCGAAGCTTAAAATTTCAGCATCAGCTGCAACATTAAAAATTGATTTACTGCTATTGTAAAAATATAAAAGCAATATTAAGCTATGCTCACCAGGTGGAAGATTTTTATTAGAGTCAAGTCAGCATTACATGTTATCTGAAATGAATTAACCTTCAAAGAAATATAAGTTTATTAGCGGTAAAGAATATTAACTAAATCCGTAGAATAATGAAATATTGTAACTGTAGATTGTATCGGCTAAGTAATCAAAGCTATGTTAGATACATTGATCATTTTACTATGATCAGATTTTTATTAGCGAAATTAAAGTAATAAATTGAATATTATTGTCCGAAGGACACTACAGGTAGAGCAATGATGAAAGAGAAACAATCAAAACAATAGATAGTTGATGCTTATTGGCTAGGTACGGTATAATATAAAAAAATCAGTTTAATTTTTTTTATATTTAGTCCTTCGGACTTCAAATAGTTTCTATTTTTCTAGTTTTATAAAAGACAATCGTAATAATAGTACTATTCACGTAACATAAAAATTTGTGATATAAAAAAATGGCGTAGTTATTTAACAAAATTTTGATCAATTAGTTGTGTCCCGCCCTAGTCACATACGGTTTCAGAGGTTTCAGATGCAATTACATCTGAAAAAAATGATATTTCAA